CATCACACAAATTCTTGAGAGCATGATGTAGTAATGCTGAAGAAGTAGCATTGCAGTGCTACCAAGGAAAGCCACAGCACCAGGACACTAGAAAATCATGGGCGCAGTGCTACCTCTATTTCCGAAAATATACCCTCGATGAAAAATTGGAAAGTAGGGCACCTTGCACATATTTAAGAGCCTTTTTAGAGAGCATTTAGAAGGGAGGCAACAAGCAACTACTCTAGAGAAAAGGAGCCAAGAACAAAGCAAGAAAACAAGAGAATTGAGAGCGAATTAAGATTGCAAAGCTTCTATAATTAGTTTCTTTCTCTACTTTTTTGTTTCTTTTATTTTCTTTGTTTTGGATTCATGGTTAAATTTCTTTAAATATTATTTTTATTAGATATTATTAGCTAAACTATTTTTTTTAGGATTGTGGTGGATTTCAACATGCAGTTTGAATATTAGTTTCTCTTTTATTTACTATGAATGGATATAGTTTTGCTTATTCAAATTTATTTTTAATGCTTTTAATTGCCTAGCCAACAATCAACTGATTTGTGAATCTAATTGAGACTCAAGAGAGAGATTTTAGGTTGGATTAAGATTTGAATAGTTTATGTTCACGTCACTTAGGTGATCTGATTCGCGATTCAGGTAGACATACACCAATTGTCATACATAGCCAAATTAGAACATTAACTTAATGAACCTTATTTAATTGATTCCTATAGGCATATAGTGACTTAATTAAATTTGGTATTTGTGCAAGCATCTCGACAAAGACTTGTACATAACCTTGGATTCTAGGTTAATAAAACCATAAATGTATGTAAATAATAGGAAAAGTTAGTATCAGATGAAATGTTAAATGAACCCATAATCTTAGGTCTTTAATCTACTGTTTTTCTCAACATATTTAATTTATGTTAGTTAATTTAGTGCTTGTTTTAATTAATTTGCTAAATTTTAGTCACTTAAATAAGATTTATTTGTCATAAATTTTAATACTTACTGAAACTTTAGAAGCAAATCCCTATGAGAACGATAATCTAGACTTATTGTTTATATTACTTGTACGATATGTATACTTGCATGTGCCAAATCGACAATAATTATTGACGTGAATTGTTATGTATGTAAGGCTAAAGAGGTCAAATAAAGGACATGACATTACGATTTATGAATCATCGAGGCAATAATGATCATGATAGGTATTGGGATTTACATTACATGATAGATAGCTTAATTGAAAACCCCTGTGCTTAGTATGTCTTATTAGTGAAAGTTCACAAAGATTGGTGCTGAGCTATTAAGCATTTGAGACCTTAGGGCCATAATAATTGATGAGGATGATGCATATAAATGCATTATGCATTAGTTATGTCCTTAGGAATAATCGCATATGATGAATGGCTTATTAGAAAGGCATTATTTAAACTTAGTGGATGTTTGTAAATACGAGCTTAATTATGGTGGGATTGTTGAATCCCATAAGGTTATTGAGCTATGATTAATTGGCTTGAATGGCTTGAACACCTGTGTGGAGTTAAAGGCATGATGGCTTATAGATTTGATATGTTCCGTCCTGTGGATGAATTTCGCACATTGATGTGAATTTAAGGATTAGGTGGCGTTTTCCCCATGATAATGTTTGTGATACCACCCATCGGGTGATTACTTCGAGTGATGATTATGCTTTAATACCACCTATCGAGAGATTACTCTTGGTGACGACAATGCTTTAATACCACCCATCGAGAGATTACTCCAGGTGATGACTATGCTTTGATGCCACCCATCAAGAGATTACTTCAAGTGATGACTATGCTATGATACCATTCGTCGGAAGATTACTCTATGTGATGACATTCATTGTAACACTACCTGTTGGGAGATTACTTTGGGTGATGACCATTATTGTCACACCATCCATTGGGAGATTACCTCGAATGAGTGATTCGATTCTATTGATTGGCCACCATGCTTGATTTGTGTACGTTTTAGGGAAGAGCACTCATAGTTGATGACATTTATGCAATAAAGGCTTATGGTAAGCCTATAATTTTAATGTTTGGTTGGGAAACATATAGTTAGCTTATTACTGAATATGAGTCTACTATAGAGATGAGACAACGACAAGGCAATGTCGATGTGACATGCATACTCAATATTAGAATGATCTTTGCACTTTCACTTTTATGAGATGTTTGATGAATAGTCATATATGCTTCCAGAATAAAATGCATTATATGTATTATGTGTACATCATATGTATGTCTAGAGGTAGTATTCCTAAACTAGAGATGTTATAAATGATGTGAATTGCCTAAAGAGATTATGCCTAGGCCAAGAATAGCAATGTGCAAATGAAATCAAGTGAAATGCCTAGAGGAGCCGAATCTAGGCCAAACGATGTTAATGTGAATATGAACCTATGTTAGAAGTCAATGATGCTATGTTTGATATGCATGTGATGTATGCATTTAGAAACGATATGTCTAGACCAGTGAAATGTCTAAAAAGATTACACCTAGGCTAAGCATAAGAATGCAAATTATGAACTTGGCCTTGTGATAAGATTATATGCTATCATGATATGAAGTAATGTATGATCCATCTAAGGATGATATTTTGGACGATGACAAGATTATGTATGAACAATTATGAATACGAATGATGAATATGATATTTTCGTGAATGATTTTGGACGATGTATGACATGAGGTTGAGTGTGTCCATATCTTTATGACTATGTATGTTGCCGGTAGGAATGGTGGTTCATCTTGCCTATGATTCCCGCCTCCAGTGTATGATGTTATGTTGCTAGTAAGGATGGTGGTAAGTAGGGATGGTGGTACATCTTGCTTGTGATTCCTACTTATTGAGCATTAATGATGTATGATGCTTGCAGGGATAGTGGTTTTTCGCCTATATTGCCATGATGCCATATGTTGAAAATACTTTGAATGATGACTATTTACTTTATTGTTTTCTTCGGCAATGGGGCGTGATATGATGATGCATGTTGTCCGTTGGGTGGCCACTGCACATGACTATGATATGTCTAAGGAGGACCACTCTATAATATGATGATGTTATGACTGCGTAATGGCATGCCATAGAAAGGGAAAAAATGTGAAATAATGTTATGTTATGTGGGGATTATGAATAATGTTACATTATGAAATATGGTAAATGCAAGGGCTAGACATAAGAGCCATAGTTTACGATAATGCAAGATGATGTAATGCAAGCCCATGGAGTTTAAGGACATATGCTTGATGTAAAAATTTATAAGGCAAGTATGTTAAGCACATGCACAGACGATCGTGTGATGGGCTAGTTCATTCAATAGATGAAGCCGTTAAACAACCATGATAGATGAGTATATATGTGAGCAACGCAGTATGACTACCATGAGAATGATAAGTGTTCATGATAAGTGACATCCAACCTGTCCCATTATGTATAGATGAGCTTACAATTTACATATGCATGCTTAGAAGGTATGTGTTGTCACTATCCTTACATATTTACAACTAATTTATGTACCTATTCACTGAGTAATAGTATGACTCATCCTCTTCAATTGTATGTGCAAATAAATAGACACTGAAGATCAAGTGGCTTAGTGTTGTCACTGTCAGACTCGCAAGTTGACAATTGGTAGGTTATTATGCTGATGAGTCACTTTGTTAGGTCATAATCAAGTTTTATGCTTCCACAATATAATAAGTTATGTCTAAATGGAGTATGCGGGCACTGCACTGCCCGACAATTATGTGAATGGTTTAAATGTTTTAAGGAACTAGCCGATGTGTGGCTATATTATGAACTAATGTTATTGTTTATGAGAAAGAAGGTAAGACGGCTAATGTTTACTATAATTGCTAAAATGATTAAATGATATAATGATGGCTATAAGGCCTTGATATGAATGGAATGTGTTGATTGGATTTATGTACAAAAGCTTTTTGGAATCTATTGGGTTTGTTTGCCAAACTCGTGGACATTGATTGAGGTTGAATGCGATGTTTATTTTATTAAAAACAATTTCAAACAAATCGAATTAGATACACTATTAAAATTTTGTTTAAAAAATTGGAAATAAAAAAAAGAAGACCAGTCGAGGTTAGCACCTCAAACAAGCTGAATCTCTCCGACTATTCTCCGTTTCTCCACATTTACGTCCCCTCCCTTCGTCTCTCTTCTCACCCCTCCACTCTCCCTTGGACAAAATGCTAACATGACACCGTTTTTGGGCCTGAGTAGGAAAAAAAGATAGGTTTTGGAGCTAATAGAGTGCCACGTAGCTTTCCAAGATGGTCCCAATCTTTTGTTATATGATACGTATGACTATTTGATGTATGCATGTGCAATTAATTAAGACGATTCGAGTCATTGCCAAATCCGGGTGATAGGTTTTCCAACTGCCACAGATTCAATAATAGAACGTGCAGTTACCCGCAGAAAGGAAGTTGTCCCTGGTTGAAGACTGCGACTGGTTTTTCAAAGAATACACGGACTGTTGCTCTTTGGATGACTTTGGCCAAAAGTTTTGTTTTTAAAATAAAAGGCTTTTGAGTTTTGGCTTTGTAGGATCAATGATTGAGTTTGCGGAATATACATAATATAGTATCAAATACTAAAATATTATACTATAAAAGGATTAATGCGTTGAATAATGAATATATTTAATCTGAATCTTTTCACATGCAACAACATGAACGGAATATGATTACCATCCCCGTCTTCAAACTTTAATATAGAACCGTTTTATATAACAGAAATGGACTAATGGGCTGTGAGGCATTGAATCTAGATACGTATATATTTCAATGTGCATTATAGTTATGAGAAGCCCTTCCTTGCTTATACCATAGTCGTTGGATATGGGCTATCAAAGTTCTCAATTCAAAGAGTAATTCACTTTTCCATTTTCTTTATGTAGAGGATCCAAAGGTTTAAAGGAGACACCAACGTCAAAATCTTGGAAAAGATAAGAATGCTCAAAGTTTCAACTACAACTATAGCTTCTAACTTCATCTTTAGCATAAGAAAATGATACTATAAAATGCTGGAAAGTTGAATAATCTCCCCTCTTCCAAGGATTCAGTTCTATATCAATTTTTAATTGTATCATGCAACAGTGCATAGTTTTAAACCCACAAAAAAAAAAAAAAAGAACCTACTGCTGAGAGTTAGCTCTCATGTCTTGTACTGGTGGAACTGTTGAAACAAGAGCAAGTGTGACGTAACTCTTTCAGGTTATGTAGCATTGCAAGGTCTTATGTTTGAATTGAAACAGCAGGTTTTCCCATCTGCAAGTCTTCCATACCAACTTCAGTAGTAGTGCTAACACTTTCTTTGTACTTGTACCACTTGGCACACATTATAAAATATCCTAAATTCAGGACTTCTAATGCGGCAACCAAGTAGTAAATGTAGTCTAACTTCCCCTTGTTAAGGTCCTCAGGCAACCAGTCCCCAGTTGGAGCCCCTTTCGTGATCTTATGAACTATTGATATCAAGATACTGTTCAGATAATTAGCTAGTGCTAAGCCAATATGAGTAAAAGACCCGGCAATACTTCTCATGTTTTCAGGAAACTGCTTGTAGTAGAATTCCATTAGGGCAATTAAGGTAAATGCCTCGGAAAGTCCTATTAAAGTCAGCTGAGGAATATACCACATCGCTGACAGGGAAGAAATTGCTCGTCTTCTCGAATCTATGCCAATTGGCTTACTGAGAGCAAAGGCTCTTCTCCTGTCCTCAACGATGGCGGATAAAAGCATGGTGACTATGGCCAGAACCATGCCAATGCCCATCTTTTGGAGGAGCGTGATTCCTCCTTCCTTTTTGGTGTACCTTTGGAGCCAGGGAACAATGATACGGTCGTAGATAGGTATCCAGACAGTAAGGCCAATCATCATGAAGATGCCATATGATGCAGCAGGAATGTTGAAACCTGTATTGCCAAGAAGTCTGTTAGATTGAAGGGCTTGGAAGACTACATATATTTGCTGTTGGACCATGGCCACGTAGTATATGATTCCTGCTGCCCATATGGGAACAACTCTGATCACGCACTTTATTTCCTCTACCTTCTGCAAACTGCATAGCTTCCATGGATTGGCTGCTGATCCATCCGAGTTGATTTCGTCCTCAGGGGTCAGTATTGCGGCTTTGTTTAGGAACCTGTTTACCCAAAAAAAACAGAGAACTTAGCTCTTAGTAATATTATATGCTGTGTCTATTAACAGACACAAGTCACTCTGAATTGCATTTTTTATGCCCAAGCCCAAGTAATTTTTTTGATTCTTTGTTGGTCAGCTAATGTGTCTCTGAGCAAGTACTTGTCCAATGGCTATAGCAAAGATTGTTGTTTAGATCACAGAAGGATATTCTCTCTGTTTTATTCCTCTTGTATCCTAGTTAAGTAGTTTATTCTTCCTAAGACCCTCGACAAGTTGCACCATCAGCGGTTAAGAATATCATGCTAAACATTCTCCACATATTTTGGTAGTTTGACAGCCATACCACTGAGTAGGTAAAGCTTCTAAAATGTGAATCAATAAAAGTCCTAGAACAAAATTGGTGTAATAGCTTTAAGGTTGCCACTGCTTGCCAGATTTCAATCCATATAGTAAAGCAACAGCAGGCAAAGTCTCATGTCACATGGGGATGTGCAAAATTCAAATGGTAATTGACAAAATAATAAAGGCCAGACAAGAAGAAAAGTCAACCCAAGTAAGGAAAAACATTATCATCAACTAGCAGATTAGCAGCTAAGTTGGTTTACCTTAATTGATCAGAGTAAGAAAGCTTGGAGTTGATAGAACTTTTTGGAATATGGTTAAAAAGGGAGACCCATGGTTGCTCTGGCTGCTTCAATTGCCTCTTCCGAACAGCCGCAACTATGACTTGAATCACACTTGTTATTGGACTACCTTCGGGCCTCACTTTCACATAAATCCTTGTACCAATGAAGAACATCACGCATGATAAGAACATCATAAACGCAGGAATGCCTAAACCCCAAGCCCAGCTCACATCCGTTTGCACGAAGACGATAACTGTCAAAGATACCATCATGGCGAAGGTGAAGGTGAAGTAGTACCAATTGAAGAAGCTGCTTGTTCCCCTCTTTCCGGAATCTGTTTCAGGATTGAATTGGTCTGCTCCAAAGGCCAGGTTACATGGTCTGATGCCACCAGCCCCAACTACCAAAAGTCCTAGACCACTCAACAGAAAAGCCATTTGCCATGGTGTTGGCCCAGGACATGCTGCAGTTCCACTGGAGTCACAGGCTGGAGGATGCAACTTTGAGACAGCTGCTGTTAGTGTAACTAGAAGCATTCCCTTCAAGGCAAAAAGGGAAAGATTATTTCAGAATTGGATGCCTTTGGTATGAGTTCATGAAGGCCTAAATAGTAAGTATCGGTACCAGTAAAGAGGCTACGGAAGCAAATCCCAACGTCTTGTACCGGCCGAAATAAGTATCAGAGAGGAATGCACCTATCAAGGTAGCGAAGCTGCAGGTACCATTGAAAACGTTAACAAGATTTGTAGCAGTGATACTTTTCATGTTGAAGACAGTAGTGAGATAGACCAAAAGGTTGGTTGCGGTGCCAGTAGTCCCCAACTTCTCAAAAATTTCATTCCCTGTAGTTGTTATATGGATCAAGAAAAGATAAATCAGAGGTCAAGGAAAAAAAATATCATGATGATGCAAAAGGAAGCTCTCTCCTTCCCTTACCTATGACAAAGGGCATGGCTTTAATTCCTCTATAGTTAATCTTCGGTTCATCGGTAGTAGTCGCAGTACTAGCCTTCTCAGTCTTCTCCATGTTTTTCCACAAAGAAATCAGTCTCTCTTCTTTTCAGTTCTTTGGAGGGCCGAGCAGAAGATGTATGCAAGCCAAGTACAAGAAGCTAGGCCTAGAGTTTGTTCAGTAAGCCAGACGTTTTATGAAATTTCTGTCCGGATATGTTGGATTTTTTATAGCTACTTCATCTCTAAAGTCGTAAATGCTGACCAAGTGACAGCAGGACGCAATTATTAAATGCTAAGTTAGTCTCCTTTTGTTCATTTCATAGCTTGAATGATAAGAGCAAATTTGGTGCGATCGAGCGGCTGTTTAAAGATTGATGTGATGGCTCACAATGTGAAACCATCGGGCCGGTCACAGCTCTAGTATTTTTCATTTTTAGGCTACCGACTTCTATTTCAGTCAGCTTTAGTTACCTCCTTTCTCTCACTTTAACTTGTAAGAACGGGAAAAAGCCAAAAGGGTGAGATTGAATTGGAGTTTTTATCCTACAGTGCATGTTCATAATGTTGCTTGCTTTTTATCTCTTGAGGTAACTCAATTCTTCCCACACTAATGGAAGGGACGGTCATCATGAGGTTCAATAGTATTGGTGTAGATTGCTACTTTTCACACCTAAAAGTTACAAAACATTTTAGGTTAAGTTTGATTGGTGAAATAAGCAAGAATAAAATAGAATAGTTATTATGTGAAAATAGAATGAGGTGGAAATAAATTAAAATAGTTATTATTTTGTTATGTACAGCGAATGAAATAGAATACAAATAGTTATTATAATTTATTACAGTATTTGGTTGGTAATAATAATTTTAGAATAAGAAAAGAATAGAAAATAAAAAAACAAAAACAACCTTTATTATTTATATGACTATTTTAGTAGATTTTTTAAATATTAATAATCTAGAATTTAATTAAAATATTAATAATTAAT